GATTTTGTTTGAAGATGGGATGGTCTTGGGCAAGCCAGGAGAAGTTGATCACCCTATTAATGCTTAGTCACATGCTTAATTCTCTCCCAAGCCGTCCTCACAAAAACCACTAAGAAACAGGCATTATTCCCCCTTTCAGATAAGGGAGCTAAGATTCAGAGGTTAAAGCAATGTCTTGTACAGCTTGTTGTTTAGTTGCTAACCCATGTCCAACTCTTTTGTGACCCTGTGGACTGTAGCCTGCCAGTCTCTTAAGCCAACTAACAACAAAGCCTCATGCCAAATCCAGGTCTATCTGGCCCCCAAAGCTTGTCCTTTGAACATCTTCATTGTCAGGCTTTTGATTCACAGATTTAAGAAATTGCCCCATGGACTTCCCTGGTTGTCCAGAGGCTAGGACTTAGGGCTCCCAATGCAGGGGGCAGGTTCTATCCCTAGTCAGGGAACTAGATCCTACCTGCCTCAACTGCTGCCGTTAAAGATTCCATGTGCCACCACAAAGACAGAAGACTCAGCACAACCAAATAATATATTTTTTTTAATTGCTCCAGTGTACTTGAGAGGCAAACCATACATATTCTGCAGTTTCTTGGGGAATGACTGTTTTGTAGCCTTTAGCTCTTAAACAGGCTGAAAAACTAACGATCATCCAACTATTAAATGTTTGCTTGGATTTTTTTAAACTTATGCAGGCAGACTGAACCATGGAGCAAGAGCACTTTCTGTGTAGAATTTTTAATAACTTTGTGAAACCTTGCCAGTAACTCTAAAGAAAAGCAGTTCTACGGTTCAGAAAGTTTACGTTTCCATTCTGGAAAGCTCTCTTACTGCCTACTGGTTTGATGGGAATGCCGCCCTCCACTTGGCTCATTTCAAATAAGGCCTCTGTGTCTCTCCTCCATGCCGCAGTCCTTTAAGCTTTTATGCAATAACACCCAAAATGGAAATCAGATGGAATCAGTTTCATAATCACTACCGTTATATTTCGGAAACAGAAATCGTTGTGGGACTCTATGGGTTTTCTGCTTTTAGGGAAAAAATAAACACATAAAAGTCACTGCTAGGCCATAGTGCCAGTTCAGGCTTGGAGGAGCTAAGTGACAAGTGAAAGCGTTAGGCGCTCAGTTGTGTCTGACTCTTTGCGACCCCATGGGCTGTAGCCCACCAAGCTCCTCTGTCCATGGAATTCTCCAGGCAAGAATACTGGACTGGGTAGCCATTCCCCTCTCCAGGGGATCTTCCCAACCCAGGGATCAAACCTGGGTCTCCTGCATTGCAGGCAAATTTTTACCATCTGAGCCACCAGGGAAGCCCCAAGTACAAGACTAAATTCTTAGACAGCACTGACTACTGATCATTAAAGAAAGGGTACATTCTCAGATATGTGGTGCTTATTCATTCATTCACCCATTTATTCAACCAAAGTTAAATTGAAGGCCTTCTATGTCTCAGACTATGCTAGGTGCTGGGAACTTGATGAAGAAAACAATGATATCCTGTCTCATGAAATCAATTAATAAGGCTAAAGTTGCATATAGTCAAAATGATCAGTAAACATCCCTCAAATTACTCATGAAGTATTATCTTAGGTCAGGTTCCCTGGAAGCAGAGCTTGACATGAGGCTTCTTGTGCAAGTAAGGCATAATCTTTACTGTGAGTAAAAAGCGTAGTCTCAGGTGAAACCCTGAAGGTGGTGGGATGCAGGGTGGGGCAGAGGACCACGTTCTGCAAATACTGAGCTCAGCTGAAGAGTTATAGTTGCAGCCTCAGCCTGATCCCTCAGGGAGCTCCAGAGTGTGAATGACATTGCGGATTTTTACCCCCTTGAGGCAAAAGGGCCAGTCTTTATATTCCCCATAATCAGGCATTAGCTTTGGGCTATCTCTAGAAATTCAGGTATAACCTGTTTGGTATTTCTGGTTGAGGTGGCTCCAGTCAGATGAGGGCTATTCTCAAAAGAAGGATGCAGCTCTGAGTGATTAGCAGCCAGAACTCAAAACAGTTGAGGGATGGAGGCACCAGCCAAGTAGAGGGCATCTGAGAGCAGCATCGCCAGCAGGCACTACACAGGATTTATGCAACGTGTTCAGTTCAGTTCAGTCGCTCAGTTGTGTCTGACTCTTTGCGACCCCATGGACTGCAGCACGACAGGCCTCCCTGTCCATCACCAACTCCTGGAGTCCACTCAAACTCATGTCCATCGAGTCGGTGATGCCATCCAACCATCTCATCCTCTGTCGTCCCCTTCACTTCCTGCCTTCAATCTTTCCCAGCTTCAGGGTCTTTTCAAATGAGTCAGCTCTTCGCATCAGGTGACCAAAGTATTGGAGTTTAAGCTTCAACATCAGGCCTTCCAGTGAACATTCAGGACTGATTTCCTTTAGGATGGACTGGTTGGATCTCCTTGCAGTCCAAGGGACTCTCAAGAGTCTTCTCCAACACCACAGTTCAAAAGCATCAATTCTTTGATGCTCAGCTTTCTTTATAGTCCAACTCTCACATCCATACACGACTACTGGAAAAACCATAACTTTGACTAGACGGACCTTTGTTGGGAAAGTAGTGTCTCTGCTTTTTAATATGCTATCTAGGTTGGTCATAATTTTTCTTCCAAGGAGTAAGCATCTGTTAGAAACCTGCATTTCATCTGTTTAAATACAACAGGGCAGTTATTGTCCAGTGAGGCAACAGGCCACCACTTCTTAGGATGCACTACAAATGAAATCATTGGCTTATGTTCAGGGACCATGTTGTATGAAAAAGAGGCTTCTATCTACACTAGACTCACACCCAGAATGGGGAGAGGCTCATGCCGTGAGAGATGCTCTCACACATCTGAGACTTGTTTTCCAGGAAACCGGCTCTGAGATGTCATCCTGTGGGATGTTCTTTGGGAAGTCAGCGCTGCAGGAGAGGGGGCTGGAAGCAGGAGTGGGGCAGAGGAAGTGGAGCCACCGTGTGGCTCTAACCACAGCCTCCACGAGCCCACCCCACGAGGAGCCCTGGACCTAAATGGCTGGTCAGGGCTGGCCTGCTTTGGGTCAGATAGCTAGGCGTTTATACCCCTGCGGCACCCTCTCATTGGGTCACCTTGGGGAAGGAGGGCCTGGGGTGAGGGGACTTTCTGCAGCTGAGGCCTCCCTGAAGAGACAGCTGGAGGCTGTTTAATGGCTGCACTCTCTGCAGCTGGGCAGAGGGTCTCCCTGGCGTGGGGGCTGGGGGCACACACGTCTCTGTCCAACATGATGACGACTTGGGAGGCCAGTCTGTTGCTCACTTGACGCACGTGATCACTGAGAGAAATAAGCACAGAATTACCCTCCCCCGGAACCCCGACTGGTTAAGGTTGTCTTCTCTTGAGGGGAAATGTGAGGATTGTGCACATATGCTTTAGGAATCTACAATTTAGTCAGTGCCTTAGTATTTAATATGAATTCTGGATTTTCATCATTAGTGTGTCTTTGCTTAGAAGTGGATAATCTACAGATTTAGGGAACACACTTGTGGTTACCAGTGCAGACAGGTAATGAGGAAGGGAGGCAATAATAGGGTTTTGGGGGAAAAATGGTTATTGTGTTATGCCCGCTGTCCGAATCCCCCAGCAGGAAACAAGAAGACCTCCATGACAATGCAACACACAAACGAAGGGAAATTTATTGCTGACTCGAGCCAGGGCCCCTGCTGCAACCAATGCAGTGGTGCAAAGTCAGAGAGCCCCGAGCCCCAGTTTCCACGCACATTTATAGGGTACTCGATTTCAAACATAAGCAGTGGGTAGTGGGCGCAAGCGGATTGGTTACATGTTTACAAAGCAATTTTATTGGTACAAACTTTCGCGCACACGGGACTTTCCAGGGGAACTTCTCGGAGGTTTACTGGGCGCACACTGATTAGCTGGTCTCTGGTGGCCTGTTGAGGGTAGATAATTACCCTACCCTCGGGAGAAACTGAAACTTAGGCCTACTCTTAGTTCAGGGCGCCTGTCATGGTGCTAGTCTTGACAGTCTCACAGTTGTAGGATTATATGAAATCATGTGTGTGAAACTTTTGAAAATGAGCTCCTTGGACTGCAAGGAGATCCAACCAGTTCATCCTAAAGGAGATCAGTCCTGGGTGTTCATTGGAAGGACTGATGCTGAAGCTGAAACTCCAATACTTTGACCACCTGATGCAAAGAGCTGACTCATTTGAAAAGATGTTGATACTGGGAAGATGGAGGGCAGGAGGAGAAAGGGACGACAGAGGATGAGATGGTTGGATGGCATCACCGACTCAATGGACATGAGTTTGAGTAAACTCTGGGAGTTGGTGATGGACAGGGAGGCCTGGCATGCTGCAGTTCATGGGGTTGCAAAGAGTCAGACATGACTGAGTGACTGAACTGAGCCAATGGAATTTAAAGAATCTTTCATTTAATTAAAAAATTGAAGAAAAAAAGAAGTGGATAATTTATCCTATTTTCTACTTATAATTCTTACCAGGTCTTTTTTTTTTTTTTCTTTTCTCATTTTGGTTAGTGACAGGCATTGTATCTTATATTCATTACCTTAGTTAGTGCTTATAATCACCTTATGAGTTAGGTACTATTATTATCTTCCATCTTACAGATGAGGAAACTCATCTAAGGGTTAGAGAGGTTAGGAAAAAACTTGCCTACAGTGAAATTTTAAAGTCAGTGCTCAAACCTAAGTCTGTCTGACTCCAAAGCTCACACCCTTAGCTATTCCACCAAAGCCAACTGTGAAATCTCTCACATTGCCCTTTGATGGACCTTTGTTAATTGTTTCATTCATTCCTTCAACACTGCTTTACTAAGCACTTCTTAGAGATTCAACAGAACCTATGAAAAGGAATATACGTGCATGTGTCCTTATGAGTTATTCTTCCTGCCTCTGTTTGTATGTGTGTGTGTGTGTAACAATTCAAGAGATTAATGCCAGTATGAGGACCTTTGGATATTTCCTAGTAACTCAATTCACTGCATTAAACTTTTTAACAGGCTAAAAGGGACACTAAGCGGACGTCTGCAAAAGAAGTCACCATTAATGTCGCAGAGAGCATCCGACAGGTGGACAGAGGTCGAAGAATCACAAAGAACTGCATCAACTAGCAGAGTGTTCCACCAGCTGAAGGGCAGAGGGACTTCCCTGGTGCCCTTCACATCCTGGATATCGTCAAGGAACCCTGAAGAAGAGGTTGCCCTTGCTCTGTGGGAGCACGGCCGAGGGCTTTGAGATGCTGTCTCCGCCTGTTGAGACATTCTCAGCCTCCTGTATATCGCATAAATGCACTGGCACAGTGTTCCCATAGGGTAATAAACCACAAATATGTGTTCAGTTTGCCTCTTGTAACTCCTGCAGTGTGGTCTGATAGAAAAATGGTGAGCAAAAGCCACGGGCCAGTTTAGGGAACAGAAAAGTAGGAGGGGGGTTCCGGCTGAGTCGGTTCTGTGCTCTCCTGGCCACGGTAGTATGCCCCGCTTAAGGCCACCTTATTCCTTCATTCTTCCTTTTTTTAAAGTACTACTATCACAAAGCTTACTTAACAGCTGGCTTTCACCCAACTTTCTAGAATGAGGAATCAAGAAACAGGAAAACTGTTACTCTTGTTCCCTTAGCTCAGCATGAGACAGATTCAGATCCAATTTTATATGAACCAACCCCACCAGCAACCTATGTGTCCCCAGGAGGCCTCGGGGATACTGTCACACCCACTTCTCTCTCACCTGTCTTCAGCATCCCCCCAGGCCGGGGTCCACATCAGCCTCTGAACAACAATATTACAATTTTGGTCACTTCAGATGCCCTCAGGGCTCTGTAGACGTTGCATTTTTCCGGTTTTTCACTTGGCTTGTTTTTTTGAGTATTTTTTCTCCCCAGTAAGACCTTTGGCCCAATCAAAGAGTGGGCTCACAAGAGGGAGAAAATCTGGGACATGTTGCTTCCCTTAAGCCTCTTTGCATAGCTCAGGACTGTGTCATTTGGTATCTGCAAAGAAATCCCTTTAGGAAGTTAGTACCTGGTTGGTGTGAAGTCACATGGGCTTTAGATCAACATGTACTCTGTTAGAAGTCAAGTAGCTGAGGGGGTAAATAAAAAAAATTTTTTTGATAGGAATAAAATTTTCTAGCATTTCTTTAAACATGTTAAGTGGACATATTTTCCTCCAAAGTAATGTAGCCTGGTTTTTAAAGGACTGTCAACATGCCTGAGGTTGGGAAAGGCAGGACTAAAGTTGTACTGAATGATACCAATAAACTCCGTGTTTAGCAGAAATGTGCAGTCTGATGGTGTATGTTTATCTAACATAGTCCAGAGAATTGACACAAGCTGGCTAAAAATTCAGATCCTTGGCCTCCATACCTGCCAGCTGTGTTATTCCTCAAACACAAGCAGGCAGTGTCCTTCCTTCCTTCAGTGGATTGTATATTTATTCACTAAACATTAAATGACAACCCTGTGTAAGGCAGATGCTGAGAGATTTAGAGTCTGGCCAGTCACTGCTGTGGCCTTCCCAGGTGGCGCTAGTGGTAGAGAACCCACTTGCCAGTGCAGAAGATGAAGAGACACGGGTTCAATCCCTGGGTGGGGAAGAGCTCCTGGAGAAAAAAGATGGCAACCCACTCCGGTATTCTATCCTGGAGATTCCCATGGACAGAGGAGCCTGGTAGGCTGTGGTCCATAGGGTCACAAAGAGTCAGACACAACTGAAGTGACTTAGCACACATGCACGAAGTTGCGGTTGTATATCCTGAATCTGACAGTGAACTTAATAAGTAGGAGGCTGGTTTAGACGCTGAGATATATGTGGTGTGAATTGCTCTGTGAAATGTATAACCTCACTTTTATAGTCAAGCTAGGTTTCTCCCAAACTCCAGATCTGGGCTTCCTTCTGATCACTCTACAAGACTCCATCATACACAAAACTACAGAAAGGGCTTTTAGGGAACTTCAGGTTCTGAAACTTTTAGAAATAATAATAAAGCAAAACCTGTGATTCTGGCGTCCCCTTTGGCATTACTCAGCAGGAGCCACCCACTGCCAAAGCTTGGTGTTCGTCCACCCACTGCCAAAGCTTGGTGTTCCTCGACCCTGCAAATTCAAGGGCTCATGCACTGTGTTTCTGTACAAGGTGTTCCTGCACCAGTCACCCTGCCAGTCGCCAGCTAAGCCCCCTTCCTCTTTGCAACCTTGTTTTTTGCGTCACTTAACTATTGTATGTTGTTTGGAATTTATTAACTTGAGAGGGTGTCTCCGGTTTATCTAGAAACAGTTTCCACTTCTGGGGGAGAGGGGAATGAAGGGCATTACATGATCTTTTCCGCTCCAGAAAAATCTGGATCTCACCCAAGATCAGAAGTTAAACCTTGTTACTGGAAATGCATCTGGCAACTTTTTCAGGCATCTGTGATTCAGGAAGATTCTTACTGTCCTATTACTGTAACAGTTTCTATTGCAAAGTTTGTGTCAATAAAGTCATGGATTTCAAACACATGGACTGTTACAGAGAATCTTTATTAGAATCCTAAATTTGTGTACATAGCTGCTTAGTTATCTTGTTTCTTTTAAACAAAGGGCTTTGGGCTTCCCTGGTGGCTAAGTGGTAAAGAATCCGCCTGCCAGTGCAGGAGACCTGGGTTCAATCCCTGATCCAGGAAGATCCCACATGCCTCAGAGCAACCAAGCCTGGGAGCCCAACTCCTGAGCCCACGTGCCATGACTACGGAAGTCTGGACACTCTAGATCTCGTGCTGTGCAACAAGAGAAGCCTCTGCAATGAGAAGCCCTCGCAACGCAACTAGAGAGTGGCCCCTGCTTTCCACAGCTAGAGAAAGCCCCCACGCAGCAAGGAAGAGCCAGCCAGCCAAGTAAGTAAATTATATTTTAAAATAAATAAACAATGGGCTTTTACATAAGTGATACCCGAGGGTCCTCCCCAAATCCTCGTGAAACAGGTAAGGGGAACACTGTTCCCATTTACAGTTTAAAACGTGTTTATGGTCTGTTCAGCCAGTACATGCCAGAACAAGGATTCAAGTGAGGAAGTTGCCTGCAGATCCAGTGGTTTTCCTACCCTTATCACAGGAGGGATTTCCCAGCTGGAAGGTCTAGCATGGCTAGGAGACGGACTTGGAGGGGAAAGACTTGATGGACTTTGCAGGTCATTATTCCCAGTCAAACCTAATTCTAAATAATATACTGACTTTCTATCTTCTTTAAAAACTTGGAAGATCTTTCATCCCTGGGTCCTTATTGTCACTCACATACAGTCAGCTGGAGTTGATAAGGTTGTGTTAACTGAAGTTAGGGGTCTCCAGCTTGTGAGGGTCCCCACCACTCACTGTGGCCAACACATTGCAGCCTCCCCATTTGTTACCTGCTTGAGCTCCGAGACATTTGTGTTTGCAACCCCTGCTCCAGATTGTGTTTACAGTGTATTGTTTTCATGTTCTTTTCAGGAGTCATCAAAATATACAAGGTCCCACCATTTTGGGAAATCAATCTTAGGAAAATTTTCTGAGTAGGCAAACTCCAAACGTGATTTAATTTTTAAAATTCTGTATTCACTTCCTTTTTCATTTACTCCATAGGAATTTCTCAAGAAGCTTCAGTGTGTTCAAAGTTGAGATACAGTGAGGAATAAAACACACTTGGCCTTTGCCCTTGTGGAGCTGGCGTCCTAGTAGAGAAAACAGACCATAACAACATAAAGAAATGATCACAATAACTTAAGATGGTGATGCATGCTGAAAAGAAGACAGGAGTTAACAGGAGAATGGATTGGAAGGAGGCAGAAATGGAAGCAGGGACCATTTAGGAAGCCCCGCAGCAGCCCTGGAGAGAGATGCAAGGAGCAGAAGAATGGTTTTGAAGATGGGTAGAAATGAATGGATGCTGAGAACATTTCAGAAATAGAGACATTAAGATTTGCTCAGGGACTGGTTGTAGGAAATGAAGAGAAGGGGGAAATCAGTGTGATTCCTAAGTTTTTTGTTTGATCAACAGGGTTTTGGTCAAGTAGTATATAGACGAAATGAAGAAATTTGTTTGGGTCTCCTTGAAGGGGCAGGTGGTTCTCTCAGCTGGATTGTATTTCCCAGGCTCCCTTGCTGTGAGTTCCTAAACCATCTCAGCAGTTCTGCAAATCAACAAGACTTTTCTTCAGGGAAGAGTGAAGATTGGGGAACAGTTCAGGAAAAGTCCACCAAAAGCCTCGTTATAGGTCCTCTTGCTTTTCACTTGGATAGCAGTGCAGTAACACAGAATTTTTAAAATGGTGGTTTGTGCCTTGGAACATGAATGTGAACCATATAGTAGACTAAAACCAGGTTTGTTTTTGGCTTAATTTTGAATCTCTGGCAAGTTGATTTGAATGATGCTTCCCTTGTAGCTCAGACAGTAAAGCATCTCCCCTGCAATGCAGGAGACCTGGGTTTAATACCTGGGTAGGGAAGATCCCCTGGAAAAGGAAATGGCAACCTACTTCAGTATTCTTGCCTGGAGAATTCCATGGACAGAGGAGCCTAGAGGGCTATTGTCCATGGGTTCAAAAAGAGTCGGACACGACTGAGCGACTAACACACACACACATTACTTCAGATTGTTCCCTAAAACCACCCCCCACGGAAGAGCATAAAAGCCAGCATCAGAAGAGGTGTATACTTCATTCTCTTAGAAACATGGAACAATGAGAAGATTCTGACACAATCAGACAATGGATCACCCAGATTTTAATCCAGCAGAGAGCTAAGCACTCGTTGCCAGAGTGAGCGTTGCAGTTTTAATTTCTTAGCTAAACCTTCTCCAGATAGAACTTCATGTTAAAAGGAAAAGGGGTGAATAACATTGCCTTTCTGATCCAAATAGCCCTTTACATAACATTGCCAGGCAGATGGATGAAAATTTGTTCGCTTTTTAGATTTTATTTTTTATCCAGAGAATGTCTCCTTCTGTTTTAATAGATAAATTAGTGATAGGATGGTGTGTGAAACAAGGGGCTGCAGCCAGCCAGCCAGGAAAAGCTTCAGGTGAATGAGACATCCTAACATGGCATCTAACAGCTTTGAGTCCTGGGGCAAGTGGTAGAGCCTTGCAGAGGAAATAACATCTT